GGATTGCGTAATTATACATTCCAAGGTCCAATAATATGTGTCCCTAACTGCTTCTGTTTTTTATTTTCTTTTATTTTGTCATTTAGCTCGTCATTGTTTGGGCATGCAATAAACTGAATGGACTCTATACACTTCCCAATACGCAACAGAGAAAGGAGAATCAAATTCTCAACAACTGACAGCCCCCCCCCCCCCCCCATATTGTTTAGGTAATAGGTCTCCATCTTGCCCTGGGTCTCCCCCCATATAGTACCATACAGTACAATCGAACTGATTTACAAGGCTGTTTCGACTTCTGTTCAGTCTGTCGTTCACTCAGCATGACTGATGAAGCTCTGATCGTAATTACCAAGAGTCTGTTTGGAGTTTAATTTCCCCCATTATCTTAATGATCATCAATGACACGGAGAGTTCACTGTACAAAGCCCCTAGAGGAGAGAAATATGACTTGGGAGCTCTGTGCCCCCTACCCCTCTCAGCTACTGAGCACTGGGCGTGGGGGGGGCTAGTGCTCACTCAGGGTCTGCCACTTGGTGACCTGCTTGCGGGGGTTCTCGATGACTTCCTGCCATTGGGCAGCAGCAGAGGAACCAGAGCTGTGTGCGCCCAGCACCAGCCGGCCCACCACCTCGTTCTTGGTGGTGCGGTCAAAGTCCAAGACCAGGAACTCCACAGAGACATCGTGCAGCAGCTCGGGGGGCACGTCGAAGACGAAGGACTCATTGAAGACGGGGTTGAGCGTGCACTTCTTCACGTGTGTCTTCTTTTTGGCGATGCGCTTTCGGCCGTAAAACACATTGACCTTCACGTACGGGTCTAGGACGGTGAAAATGGAAGAAGGACAAGGACTCGATGAGAGGAGGAGTCATAGAGAGATGAGCATTTTATTGTTACAACTATCTACTGTGTAACATGAAAAAAAAACATGCTCTAAACGGGAACCGAATAGTAGATGACAGCTACTTAACTATGATCACCTGGCAGCATAAGGTCAGGGAGTTAACCTTAATACATTCTCTTCTGTTCGTCTCCATAAAATATCCTATAGCCTTCAAGAAAACTGCCCAAACGCGCCACAGCTGAATGGTGAGATTCATTAGCATGGTACTCACTGCCAGACAGGCCGGTGATGTCCATCTTGGGCAGGTGCTTGGCTTTCATCACCGCAACACTCAGCCGGTGAGTGACAGGTTGGTAGGACAGAGACACCAAAAGCTCCCCACGGCTCACACACTGCAAGGTAGAACATATGTATGCCATTACATTCCCTCACATGTGCACACACACACACACACACACACACACAGGTTTGTAATAATATCTTTGTGGGGACTCTCCATTCATTTCTATGGAGAAAACTCTAATCCCGACATGACGACCTTAACCCCTACCCAGCTCTAACCTTAACCATAAGTAACCAAATAAAATACGAGACTTTTAGCATTTTTATTTTTTTGATTGCATTCACAGATTTTGTGGGGACCTGAAAAATGGTCTTCACAACGTCAAATTATCAGGTTTTTATCACATTGTGGGGGACATTTGGTCCCCACAATGTAATATAAACCTAATTCACACACACACACACACACACACTCACACAATGACAGAGACACGTATGTCATCACGACTCACAAAGCTCACCAATATGGCCATGTTCTCACAGATTAACAAACACAGGTGCAGGACTGCTGTGATTTTCCATCAGCATTAGTCTGCACTCTATCCATATCCTTCTCAGCTCTGCAGACTCCCTGCCCTCCTCCTTTTCCCGCTCATGCTTTCTCTTTCTGCAGATTACAGAGCTGCTGTTGAGAGTCTCCATAGCAACTAGAAGGCCAGGGTGAGCTTTGGAGAAGGTCTGAGAGTGGGAGGCCTTGGTCTCCCAGGGTGACATGCTGCAGGGGCCCCAACTTTTGCCTGTGCAAACAAACGGTTTATCTCTGCAGTTTCTCCATCAGAAACAGCTGGACATTAACACTTTTCAGCAATCAGAAGACACTCTGATTTCTAGCCATAAATAATGCCCTTGTATATTTCATATATTATCAAATACTGGAGAAAGAATATTATATGAGAAGATACCAAAACAAAGTATGGACATTCATGTCACGCGTCACAGACGGAAGGAATAATATATAAAGGTAATAAACCTTTTTCGTTTTAAATTGTCCTCTTTTTACATTAATTTTCTGTTTGTTAATTGGTTTAGCAACAAAGTAGTGACTGATACTACAGACTAATTTGAGAAAAAAACAAATGGAAATAAATTGAATGTTATTAGATTCTGACATACCAGGAGCGTTAGGAATTTGCTTTATTACATTATATGTTTATACATAATTAACAGATAATAACATTATATGTTGCAAGACAAATTTCATTTAATGGAAACTAATGGATTTTTCAGACATTAAATAGATGTATAGATCACTGTCATAATTCTGATGGCCTGTTTAAAAAAAACTCTGGTCTGAATAATGAAAGCCTCTCTCTCTCTACTCCTATTAAAATTTTAATGGAGGTCGGAACTGCGCCCGTTTCTGTAGACGGTCACCTTTTTATAGCCCCGTGTTTTACATCTCCCAAGACCCCTCTATTTTTTCTCTCTCCATCTCTCTTCTCTGTCCAGCATGCTCACCAGTCCCAGTAACGAGTAGGATCCCAGTACCAGCAAAACATAGTCCACAGTGCATATAAATATAAAAATACACAAATATGCTATTAGGTACAGACGGTGTGGAGGAAGCTGTCAATGTGGTGATACAGACGGTGTGGAGGAAGCTGATGTCTGTGAATGTGGTGATGCCTGCACTCCTGTGGCAGCAGAGACAGTAAACAGGTAAACATCCCCCGAAAACACAGAATTACAGCCTTAGGGCTAAAATGGCTCTCGGGAAACTGTCCACTATCCGTAACGGTGTGTGGGTCCTCAGTTTCTATTGATCGTCTTTAGTTCTCTCCACTTTTGTCGACCTGCATGTACAGTTGAAACGGGGCAAGAATCGACGCAAATGCCAAGCTTTTGAATTACAGCAACAACAACTATTCTTCTTATTATTATTATCATTTTTATTATTGTTGTTGCCATTATTATTTCTGGGACTGCAGAGTGTCATTGGCTGCTGCCATCAAATCCAGAACATTACCAGTGATGGCTGTTCCCAATATGGCTTCCCATTTTTGTCGTGTTAAATTATGCAGAATGCATCATTTGTCCTTTACAACCATCCAGGCAGGCAGTGCACGCACATCAAAGACAGCAATCTCATGCTTCATCCTGAGCCCGCTTGTTTCCTTTCATCACTGATACTCTTTTATGTTTCAAAGCACTACATTTTAATCTGATGCTGCTAGGATACCTCTGTATGATGTCACGTGCATGACATCAGAGAGTGACACACCATATCACATGCCCCCTCCTACGGAGAATCAATCCCCTTTTGTGTTTAAATTGAAGATTGCTCACAATGATGGATGAGGATACAGGCAAACATGGTAAATAAGGTTAAACAGGGTAAATATGACATCATAAGATATTTATCCAACTAAATATGTGGGCTTTTTCTATCTGTCTCGCACTCACACGCATTAAGTCAAACATGAGCGCAGAAAGTTACACAGCATCACACACCTGTATGCTCCTCTTGCAGATCTGCTGCGTGATCAGGATCCGTCCAGTGCTGGGGTCTACGCCGGCCAGCGGCACCACTGCCTCACCGATGACGTCGTCGCGGGAGAAGCGATCGAAGCTGAGCACCAGGAAGTGCAGCACCAGTTCGGGCAGGCTGCTGTAGGGCACGCCGTAGAAGGTGAACGTCTCGTCAAAGGCAGGCTCCAGGGTCTTGCGCATCACCCGGGTCTTGACGCGATGCTTCTTCTCGGGCAGGATGGTCATCTTAACGTAGGGGTCTGAGCTGCCCGACTGCTCGTCCACCGCTGGCAGGCCTTGTGCCCCCACGATGGTCACCACCAGGGCCTTCTTGGGGAAGTTATAGTCCACAGCCAGGCTGAGTGTTCCCAGGGGGCGGTCTTCTGCCGGGCTGAACGGAGAGGCCGCCTTGCTGGTGTTGCTGCTGCACCCACTGGTGTCACTTGATCCTGGGCTGCCACCCTCGGGAGGAACGGCGGATTCGCGCTCCGCCCCCCTGAGCAGTCCGTTCTCCGCTGCATCTACCAACAGTGCCGGCCCGGCCCGCCCCCCATCCCAGGGGCCCCGCCCATGTGACCCAGGCCGCCGGGCCACCCGCACGATTTTCTTGCTGCCGCTGAGTGTCTCGGGGTAAATGCTGACACCCTTCAGCATGTGTATGAAGCGGTACGGCGGGTCGCCGGGCTCACTGCCCAGCTTGTAGGCGCCCGTCAGCTGCCTGTAGCGACGCTGGCAGCACGTCCACAGGAAGACGGCCACCGTCACGGACACCACCAGGACCCCCGCACCCAGGAAGCCTGCCAGCACTGGGGACACATCTGCAAAAGCAGGGGAGAGAGAGGAGCATCTTAAAATACAAGAGAGCTACTATAAACCTGATTTAACACAAAAATCAGAGTCAGGCACTGTGTGCAAAATAGCTCAAACAGGTTACAAATACATCATCAGGAGCAGACAATACACCCCCCCCCTGCAATTAGGAGTTATGAGGTTCCTCTACAAAAGAAGAGTAGACACCAACTTGTGTTCATTGCCAAGGTAAAATATGATGAAATTTAACTTGATGAAATGGCCTTACTGTCAGGCTTCATTAAAACAAAGAATGAACTTCAAGACACCCAGAGGGATAATTTTCAAATCAAGTGGTTCTTAGTGGAACTTATGGCTCCAGTCTTTAATAGAGTTCATCTACATGTCCCACTAGTCTCTATCTGTTACAGTGTCACCGTCTTTACCAGCTCATTCACCTCAAGCTAAGGCAGTGGAACAGTCCTACACAAGGTGCATCCCGCCACTTGCAATCACAAGCAAAGAAATTGTTGCTGGATTCTGACAAGCGAACTCCAGCGAGTTCTTCTGGGATGAGAGACTTTTTATGGCTATAAACCACTGATGGCACCGATCTACTGGCGATATTTCACAGCAAGCAACGTGACCCAGTTTGACAGACTTTTTTGGGATTTTGCTGAAGATGAGAGAAACGGAAGAAAGGGAGGAACGGAGAGAGGGGGCCACTGGCAGTGTTGTTTTGAAACTGCGCAGCAAAGGGCCGTGTACTGGCAGCTCAGTGTGACAGGACTTCAGCTTCTGTATGTTTCAGCATAGCTAAACGGGGATGGACTGTGCAGTTGGGGGGGGGGGGGGGGGGGGGGGGGGGGGGGGGGGGGGGGGGGGGGGGGGGGGGGGAGCATGGGGAAGGAATGGGAGAGGGAAGAAAGTAGAAAGAGACAGAGGAAGAGGGGAATTAAGACAGCGACTGAGAGGCAGTGGGAAAGAGATGGTGACTTGGGAGGAGGGAGAGATTGAGGGGAAAGGGCCAGAGAGTAGAAGATAAGGAGATGGGAAAACTCCTCACTGGGAGTGAAGCACCTGGAACGACCTGCTAGCGTGCATCTGCCGCAGGCCCAAGGGCGCCTTGACCTGGACCGCCAGGGATCACAACCCTCCCCCGTCACCCCAAGGCTCTAAGCAATAATGCAGTCTGCCGTTTGGTTTACACTGGGATCCTGCCATTTTAATTACCATCCACAAGTGTGTGCAATAAAACTTGAAGATGCCCCACCCACTAGCTGATGAACAAAGCCAGGCATTATTTCTCGTCCCTTTGTGGCCTATTGCTGGTGAAACAACATGGTTGTCTTGATGAAGGGGACCTCCAGAGGGTTCTGGAGATCACAGGGAGGATTCAGGAGACACAGGTGAGCACCACACCCTGCTCAGCACATTCCCATACATGCCAACCTGTCCCTCAATGCAGAGGTGCTTAATTCCGACCTCCTCCCAATTGGTGGAGGAACCATGGAAGGGGTTTCAGAGCTGGGTTCCCTGAAAAGCCCAATGAGGCCAAAAAGGATGTAAGGTTGGTGCCAAGGGAAAGCTGTGAATAGGTGAGAGAGCATCCTGCTGAAGGATATGCAAGAGAATAAAGTGCCCCCCCCCATTAGCTCTGAGAAGGGCATGCTGGGTGGTGTGGTAGTGTGGTGAAAAAGCTCTGATTACTGGCTGTCTCACAAAACCACATGACACTCAACTTAAGATCCCAGGAGATCATCAGGTAATCAGAGTCTTGAACCGTCTCTGTATCTCGTAAAAAATGTCAGGTGATGGGCAGTAGAATTCCTGACCAAATACACTACTAACTGTGTCTCTGATGGCTTCAACACCCTCTTCATGACTTGGAATGGAGATGCAAAAGGCCCCATAATTAACAATTTAATTAATTCAGTTTTTGCAGCCAGAAATGTGTCGAGACGAAGGCGTCTGGGCACCCTGGCATCATAAATATCCTCAGTAAAAACGGCGTGTTCATTTCTGTGGCGCATCATCCACAATCAACGAATGGAATATGAAATGTAAAACATCATCCTATCAGACTGTGCTGTTGATCTCTAAAGCCCAGAGAGGGAAAGTTGGGAGGTCTGTCCCTCTTCTGGGGGAACTGAGAGCCGTAAGACTCGGTGACCCGCATACCAAGCAGGCTCTCCACAGTGGAGAGGCACAAAGGCTGCAGAGAACATTGACAATGTGAGAAAACTAGTGGACGGAAATTGACACAGAGAGACCTGGGCCCAGCAGTCTCTGAACGTGAGAGAATTGAAAGCTGTTGCTGGTTACAGTATGGATCAATGGAGAGCCTGGACATGAGGTAGAGGTGACAGCGAGGGGAAGTTCTTACAGCAAACCAAAAGTAATACAGCAGTAATGTGACAGTTTGCAAAACCGTGGACTATTCCCCGTTAACAATGTCAGCTTGGGTAATCAATACTGCTCTTCACTATTTTGGTACCAAGCACTGGACCATCTGTAGGTTGAGAACAGTGTTATATAAATTTAATTTTAGGAAAACAACTTAAGATATTAATAAAATGAATAAGCCTAATAAAAACTAGGGATCGCTTTGCGGCATGGCGTGGGAACAACCAGCTATTCTTAAATATGACCAAGATGAAGCAGATGGTTGTGGATTTTATGAGAACCAGGACTAAGCTGAACACGATTTCCTTCCTGAGAGAAGAGATGGAGCTGGTGGAGGGCTACAGATACCTGGACGTTCACCAGGACAACAGAGTGGACTGGAAATGCAACACTGAGGTTGGCTACAGGAAGGGACTCTACTTCTTGAGGAAGTGTAGGTCCTTAATGTGTGTAGCACCTTGTATATCTTCTATCAGTCTTTCGTGGAAAGTGCTATTTTCAGAGCTGGCAACTCTAAGAAGCTGAAGAAACTGATGAAGAAGGCTGGCTCTGTGCTGGGGACTACTCTGGATGCCCTACAGTTGGTTGTGGAGAGATAAATGTTGCTCAACATTATGGATAATACTCCACCCCTCGTACACAACCTACTGGCCAGACAACTTTCAATCAGAGACTCCTTCAGTTATGCTGTCATAAGGATCTTTGCAGAAGGTCACTCCTGCCTGCATTAACTCCACCCCGGCAGTAACCATCTAGCACGACTCCTAGAACTGCTGCACAGTTCCAATATGACGTTGAAAGCTGGTAATGTGAATACAATACAGATGAAGTACAGTTAATTTCCTAAATTTTATTTATTTTATTTTTGTTTGAGAGAATATTTTGATTTACTTTTAAGTACATTTTAGTTATTAGTATTAGTAGCTTGCAGATATATATATATATATATATATATATATACACACACACACACACACAGCACAAAATTACAAAAGTTTGTAATTTTGCAGTATATATGCAGTATATATATTATATATATATATACATTTGTAATTCTGTCTCCCTACCTTGTGATTGTGTGTCATTTGTGTGAATTGCTACTGTAACACAAACACTTCCCCTTACGGAACAATAAAGTACTTTGAATGTGAAAGAAATGTAATTGTATTTCCTCAAAAAGTCCTTGCAAACTCATAGAGCCTCCATACTTCACAAGGGGATTGGGGTTTCTCTTCCACACAAGGTAAAATCTCAAGAATAAAACAAAACAAAGACACACAGAAGTCTAGCTTCATCTACATATAGCACTTCGTAGAACTTAATCGACAGCAGAAGTCCCTGTGCACTGTCTAAGGGTCAGCAGATAAGATGGAGGAGAAGTACATGAAGCTGACACCTAAAGGCCCAGGCATCCAAGGCATTGAGCACACTCTGAGCAGCCAAATTAGCTGTGGAGAGGCAAACGAAGGCAAATGGACACTCCATAATTCCAGTTTAAGATATTTTTGTTCCCAGAGCAAAAAATGTGACAGGGGTTGACAAAGAATCACACGTGAACTAAAGAAGAGCATCAAGCAGAATTGGTAGGTACACACGAAGTGAGAAGAAATAAGTGTAAGAGAGGAAAGAAGGGGATTGTGAGGGCACTAGGGGGTTGGGCAGTGAGGGGGAGGGGCATGGAGGAACAATGCTAAAGAAGAAGACCTGGGGGGCCTCAGGTCATGTGACAAGCTCTAAACACTGGGACTTCATCTAAACCAGGGTTCCTCAACATGGATGATATTTACTAGACAAAAAAACCTGTAGCACTGTATTGGTGGTTCTGGTGGCCCATTTCTCCCTGCCCAGTCCCTCAGACGGGGATCTCCTCACCAAGGAACCGGCCCTCGAGTCCCGCTGGGAGCTGACGTCAGACTCAGGAAGGCGGCTGGAGCCAGCTGCCGAAACTGCACGGTGACATCACTGACATGGGGGCGGGGGGGGGGGGGGGGCTTGCAGCCACCTCCAACCCCCAGGAAAAAGGAACAACCTCCATCTGCCTAAGTGGGCACAGCTTCTGAATCTCCATTTCCAGGAACCCAGATCATCCAAAACCCACAACCGGACCACCAGCAAAGGTCTTGCAATCCTACCTGTTCAGTGCCTAATTAAAATTTATTCCAATATTGTATCATATAGTACTAGTGACACTGAAGGCCATGATTTAATAAATATTCTATTATAATATTTTTAAATACTTACAGATAAAGCAATCAAAACAGCCACAACACCACTACAGTAACAATATGATAACTGAATTGATATGCAAATGTCAAGCATTGCTCATGTTCAGCTAAAATGATACTTTAAGTATATATCGGTCACGTGTCACATGGCCGACGGCTGAGGTTTTTAACCGTGATCCTCAGTCATGTTCACCCCAGATGTGAGATCTAAATGAGAAGCACAAATCCCCCAATGAGCAGAAGCGGCTATGCTTGACCTACGGCTGATGTTGTGTTCATATTTCCCTAAAAATCTTAAAAATGGTAATCCCTGGAAAACAAGATACAGTGTCTCTTTACCAATGAATATACATCACATTTGCTGTTACATCTGGGATGAAATTAGGAATGGTACACTGACAGTCACTGCTTGGTCCCCGAAATGATATGTGAACAAACATGTCTGTTGTTCTGTCTCATTGTCAGTTTGGGCGTGTGCCTCTCTCTATTTGTAAATGTCTTTGCTGTGTGTGTGCTTTCTGTGTCAGTGTCTGTCACGACAGTCCCAGCCCAGTCAGAAAACCAGCCTATGCCAAGTCGGTGGATTAAGAGGCTCTGGCAGAGTGGCAGGTGGCACAGGAGATGCCCCATGCCAATGGCTCAGAGAAGCATGCAGCATCCCTCCGGTCCCCTAGCACAAAGTCTCCCCCCGGTTCAGAAGCCAGCTGTGACCTTAAAAATGAGAGTCAGTCTTCTGTTCTGCCCTCTTAGGTCATGGGAACATTGCCCTGCACTCCCAGAATACACTGCTATAGGCACTAAAGCTATTAACAACCCATTAAATTTATGGTCAGACTATAGTTGGCTCTGCTAAGAAGAGGTTCTTCCATGGCCAATAAAACAGCTAGACTGCATATGATGGTGTTTCGTTACCCCACTGGCACACAAGTCATGGACCAGCGCCCCCTGCAGGGACAGAGCTCACAGAACATCAAACCTGTGGGCAGGGATGGATACCTGCATCAAACACAGTAATGGATGGTTCAGCAGTCAAGATATTTTCCCCCATTATGTGTTGATGGAAGATCCCGCCAGTGCCCTGTGTGTCCATACTTCTGCAGCCTAATTTTTGTATTAAAAGTGCATATTATATTAAACAGGCTCAATAACTGTACACAAAATATTGAATTAATTTATTAAGAGGGTAGGGAAGCTGTTTTAGCTGTGCTACGTAGATCACATTAAATTTTATTAGCAAAGGCTTTTCTCAGAGCTAACTGGCAAACTTGCTAGGGCACTCAAAGGACCTCTTTCCATATTAACACTAAACAAAAGATTCATTTTGTGTAGTGGCGGCCATTGTGCTGCCAGCCATAAACTCAGTTTGATGTCAAAGTCAAGTCAACTTCACCTATTTGTGGAGTATCATCAATAATCCCACTTTTGCAAAATAAAATAAAATAAAATAAATAATAAGAAAATCAAAACCATTGTAAAGGCGGCATAAATTTGATAGTGGGCGTAACCTGAAAAACATCACTGATGACAGTGAACATGGATATGGATACATGTACAGGAGTACAAAATGGGAAAAATGTCCTTTGTGGGAGATTATGAAACGGCCACATGGACCCTGTCCGTGTCAAAATGGGGAATCCTGCATGTGATACGGAGCTGCCCATCATTCATCACTAGCACTCATCCGATCAGGAAACCTTTAAACAAAGCAAAGGCAATCTATGCACTCTCACAGTGTTCAAAAGGTGTGACTGAGCTGCTCGCATCACGTACTGCTGGTGTTCTGGGGGAAATTATGGCACAAATGAGAATTAAGCAGAACAGTCCACATGCAGGTCATCTTATACACTATCCATACACCCACACGACGTCTAACACTCCGCGGCCTCACAAACTCCACAGCTTACGTAGATTACTATTTCTTTACTTTTTTATTTTGCACTACACAGGACTGTCAGCAGATCCAAACACACCTCTAGGTTACTTCTCCAGGTCATTTCTCTACTCCTCATGTCACTTTTGTGAGCTACAGCTTGAACCATGTCAACATCTGACTTCAATGTGCACAAACCACGAGATTTATACTCTCAAATGTTCATACTTTCAAATGTGAAACTGAGTGAAGGATTACTGACCTAGTGGTAAATCTGTATCTCATATACTTCGGCATTGCTGCAACACACATCATTGGGCACAGTATTTGAAATTCATAATGTAATATGTTTGGTGAAACAAGCATGATGAAACTGGAATAGGGCACTGAATTAGATATGTGATGATGTGAAATGTTACTTTTCATGTCAAGATTGTGCTTTTATCCAAAGACGCCGGCAATTTTCACCCATTGGACATTTCACTAGAACAGTTCAGGTTAAGTACCTAGCTAAAGGGTACAAAAGCATGACCTCAATGTTATTAACCACAACGCCTCCTGCTGGCCGGAGGCTTCTAAGACCATTTACATAGACAGTGAGAGAGGGGGTAGTTTCCTGGAAGTAACTGTATTTGCACAAACTGCAAGGCCTTTATTGTTGAAAGGCACACCCTGATCTCACCTGTATGAAATCTGCATCCTTTTATATTTTATAGCATTGGACTAAACCAAGTGATCAAATCTGAGCTCTGCAGATGTTACAGCAGTGAACACACCCAGCCCTAATCCATGTCACACTATTGAGGTTTAAACAAGGCCCTAAGTATATATCCCACATTAACAACAATCATTAAAAGCAAATTAATATATATTTTTTAATGCATTTAGAATTTGTTACTCATGCAGCATTTAATCCTCCCCGTGACCATAACTGTGATTAGCTTGGCTGATGCACACGGAGCAGGCAGTCCGCTTTAGCCCAGGTTGTTAAGCAAAAACAATGGATAAACGGGGACAGGCGATGCCTGGCCCTTGTAATAGACATAACGTCATCGCAACCGCCCCCTCCCCAACCTCCACCCAGCCCAGAAGCTCTGCCAGCGCCATGAAAAAAGAAATCAGCCAATGACTAAAAAATACGCCCAGGCCGTCCTTCTCTCCATCTATGATACTGGCGATCCCGAAACATTCGCATGTATTCCGTCAACAATTAAAACGCGATTAAGTGCATTCTTATAATTATTTTTTTAATTACCTACGCATAATTTCATCATTACATTTATTCGGGCAAATGACGAAGAAGAGATATCGTGACACACAAGACCGTATGATAAACAATCGGCAAAACACCCATATGTCAAAAACTGTATGTGATCATTTTTATACACAATGTAAGGAGCCGGTGAAGATGACAAGGTTGTCCTTCTCGCAAACAGCCACATCCCATAAACCATTGTAGGGCAGGGGCAGTACATAATGTCCCTGGGTATTCTATGCCGGGATTTTAAATGAATATCACCCATTTGGAATACATGATTATAACCAAGAGTTAAATTCCCAATAAATCTTCGTCGCACATTATTTCAAAACATGTGAAACTACTTCGAAAATGATCAAACACGCTGTATGGTGTCCATGTAGAACAATACTTAGAAATTCGCAATGGGTATGTGTAACAATAATTCATTAACATATATCTGCCTAAATATTACATAGACCGTAATGACCAGTAAAAGACATTATTCCCGATAATAAATTTCGTGTTAAAAGATGCGCATACTTACCATACGCCGGCCTAATGTTGGTTATCTCGGCCATTTTGAGAGTAAATATACTGCGCTGGTGTCACAAAAATATTAAAAATGATTAAATCAAATATCTATATGATTTTCATAAATAACCATTTCTCCGTCTTGAGTGGAGTAACGTCTCCCTGAATTATCGAGCGCCTGACTTTCCCTATACGCTGGCAGAAATCAGCTCGGCGCTCCCTTTCGCCTGTATTTTCCTACCAAGCGCTGCTATGATGCTCAGACGCTGGGATCGGAAATGCGGCTGCGGCGCGGAGACTGGTACTCTCAGGCTCGCCTGGCTCCGCCCGCAAGCGCCGTCAGGCGCATTACAAATACGCCCAGCTTGTGGCAGTGATCGCTTGACGAACGCAGGGCACGTTCTCTCTCGGAAGTACCCATATAAATCATTTCGACAGGACCGTATTAGGGCACGCGGTACAGTCCCAGGCGCTGTTAAATTCCTATACGTGTGCCCATCAAATTAATACGCGCATGTACTCTGCAGTAAACGGAATGAAGCCGTACCCTACCATCTGTTACAGGGGCTATTAAACTAGGGATTCTCGTCTAAGTTTTTCCAAATTTGGTATTTCTCTCCACTTCTTAATTAAACACGTACCTATTAATTAGAATTATGCGCCATTAATACCAAAAAGTATCCATTTTCACTGGGTCAGTCAATTTGCAATATAAACAAAATTTGTCTACTTAATTGCGAAACCCAAATGATTTAAATGATAATTTGCATAATGTAATGCCTATGCATAATTCGTGCTGCTGCGCGATGAAAATATGCACAACATAATAACAGATATATAATTATAAATAGCCTACGTAATGCCACATAATTGCAAATTTAATTGACTTGTCCTGTGTTATTCTCCATAACTGCGCTGAAGAGTTCCGCGGTGGATGTGACAGTTGCTTCATTAGGCGGGATTAACGGACATTCAGCGTCGGTGTCCTGAAATGGCCTCTATCGCGCCAGCTCCCGGGAGAAATGAGAAACGAAAAAGAATTAAACCCCTTTAAGACATAATGTACAATTCTTACAGCCGGGCTCCATGATTTTACGTTCCTCAGCACATTGTATCAGATGGACCTAGACTGCAATACTGTAGTGCTGGTTAAATAATCCAGGTACATAATAACTATGAACTGCTTCACGTGACATACACTTTAACAAAATGCTGTAAAATACAGCGAAATTGTTACAGTGATATACTGTTTATCAGTAAAACGGTACAATATTGTAGAAAAAAAATGCTTTCTGGGCAATATTTAAAGTATGAACACTTTGCCGTTTCCCTTATACTGCAATGTAGTGTAATTCAGCACATGAAAAAAAAAACCTGTAGAATTTACTTAAATAAAATGAGGTAACAATTTGCACTCATTTTTTTGGGTTGAATTTAAACCTTTTTGGGCTGAATTTAAACCTTTATTTCCTAGTAAAGTATACCCAATTTTAGGAAATATTTTAAATCTACTTACGGGGGCGGCATGGTGGTGCAGTGGTTAGCTCTGTTGCCTCGCACCTCTGGGACCTGGGTTCAAGTCGCCGCCTGGGTCACATGTGTGTGGAGTTTACATGTTCTCCCCATGTCATCGTGGGGTTTCCTCCAGGTACTCCAGTTTCCCCCCACAGTCCAAAGACATGCTGAAGCTAATTGGAGTTGCTGAATTGCCCTTAGGTGTGCATGTGTGTGTGAATGGTGAGTGTGCCCTGCGATGGGCTGGCCCCCCATCCAGGGTTGTTCCCTGCCTCATGCCCATTGCTTCCAGGATAGGCTCTGGACCCCCCACAATAATGGATGGATGCAGTCTACCTACATTCACAACACCATCCTATAATATTTACTCAAATTACAGTTTTTCTGAATTGCTAAAACACAGTTCCTAAAAGCTTCTCTCTGTCAAGTCTCTGCCTGGGTCACATGTGTGTGGAGTTTACACGTTCTCCCCATGTCGTCGTGGGGTTCCCTGCTCATACGATCCCTCCATGTGCCACACCCCCTCGTAACCTCGCGTGAATTCCTAATTGTATTCAGCTGTTTGGTCTTATTTCTGAGTAGTCCTGTGTATTTAAGTCCGCGTTCAAGTCTGTTTCCCCAGTTCCGTCATTGAAGTTAGTTCATCGTTACCTGTGTTACCTTGCTGTTTCCCTTCAATAAACCCCGTTTCCCAATTATCCATCTCCTTGCTCCTGCTTCCCCGGACGTGCTCATAACAGAATGGCGGAACTCAAAGAAGACCCACCTCTGCGGGCCGAGGGACAACGCCTCGGTTTGCTTCAGGAGGTGGTGTATTGGCTAAACCAGGCCGAGGTTCGGAAAGATCCCTCCTCAGTGGAATGACTCCAACCAGGAACGTGCACCTCACGAGCGAAGTGCACGAAAACCTCCGGCAGCTGGTGCAACGCGTGACTGAGAGGAGGACCCAGCTTATACCTCTCCACAGTGAGCTGGGCTCAAATCAGCCGTCTGATCTTCCCGAGATGCCTCGACCTCCGTTTATGACAGCTGTCCGGAAGAAAAGGAAGAAGCGGAGAAATCGGAGACCAGAGGAAGAACCAATGATCCTCCTGGGAGCCGTCTCTATCTCTGCTGCTGCATCCCTCTCTGCTGCCTGCCCTGCTGCTTATCGGAAGGAGCCCCTCCCAAGTTTGAACCTGGCGGTGTTCACGCCGGAGGCCGCTGCCGCCACCCCGGAGTGTCTGCCCATGGTTGCATCCCTTTTCTGGGACTCACCTGGCTCTTAAAGGGGCCAGGTCTGTTTGGGACACTATCCCGCGGGTCCTGAAGGCTGTTTAAAGGGCAATGCCTGCTCCTAAGGTGCCAACCCAGGCTGCTATACCCGTCATTCCTGACCTGCCCGTCGTTCATGACCTACCTGTGTTTGATGTATTTGACCTGCTTGGTGTTCCTGGCATGCCCGACCTGCCTGACATCCCAGAGGTTCCAGAGCTGGCGGTCCCTGCAACAGCGCCCGCAGAGGCTCACGCTGAATCCGAGGCCCCTGCAGCACCCCCTGTGGCTCCAGTGCCGGCAGTCTCCACACCGCCGCCCGCAAAGACTCCCGCTGTGTCCAAGGCCCCTGCAGCGCCGACTCCCTCCTCGCCTCCTCCGCTTGTCCCTCTGACTGCCTCCTCCCCTCCGGCTCTGACCTCGTAGTCACCTGCTGCCCCTGTGGTGACCGCCTCTTGCCCGGTGGGGTTCCCTCGGGCTCCCCGTTTTCTCCCGCCTTTCTCCTTCCGGCCTCCTATGTCTGCTCCTCGTCCCTCTGTGTCTCCTATGTTCACTCCTGGCCCTTTCGTTCCTCCTGTTGGTGTTCCCCCCCGTGTCTCCTTTTCTAGTGCCCATCTGCCTGTCTGCCTTCCCTGTGGTCTGTCAGTGGGTGTCTTTTTTCTTGTCCCTGTTCTGTGTATCTGTTCAGTTACCAGGGTCCAGTTAACCCTCTGGGGTCAAGTATCGTCGGCGACATCGCATACTTTTCGCATCTATTTCAGTTTATATCTCGCTGAAATCTTAATGTAGAATAATGAAAAAACGCTGGCTAAATCCGTAATCGGTCTTCTTTTCAAAACGTCCATTGTCGGAATTATTAAAGTTTTTAAAATTAGGTAAAATGGGCAAAAAAGTGAACTTCCTTTGTTTTTCCTGCATCGGGGGCATGTAGTACCGCTCTCACCCGGAGATCGCTATTCACATTCTAAATAGGCGCATTATTGTGTATTCAAATCGCATTCGCATGGTAATTTGATGAACAACGCAACGGTGAAACGCGATCCAGATACATCCCCTTCAGCGCCATAAAAGGGGGGGAGGGACGTGGCCAGGTGTCAATGGCTCATTCATACACATGAAAGTTGCTACATATTCAATGAAAGGAGCCAGAAATATTGACATGAGTTAGGAACCTCGGGGGGCACTGCAGGCGCCACAGGAGCCGCCGCAGCAGCCGCCGACTCCAGGCCAACAGGGGGCGCCGCAGCAACCGCTGACTTCCGAACCACTGGGTGTGCAGCCGCAGGCACGGGAACCACTGGGTGCAAAGCTGCAAGCACAGGCGACTCGGCACCAGCAAGGGATGGTGCAGGGACCTCTGGGGCCAACAAAGGAGGAGGCAGCACTGCCGGGACCTCGGGCGACGAAGCGGGACCTGCAGGGGGCGCAGCGGAAACCTTGGGGTTCTGAACTGGACTCACCAGTCAAGGTTGCACCTGGGGGGAGGGTGCAGCAGATACCTCGAGCGCTGCAGCCTCTCCTATCGGGAGAGTCTCCTTCTCCATCCACTGGAGCAGCCTCCTCAAGGTTTCCTCTGCTCACTCCAGCTTCTGTGGTGGGGCAGCAGGAGTAACCTCTGCCAGCTCCTCTCTCAGCTGTTCCAGGGGCAGAGCAGCCCCTGGGGAGGTTTGCACTGCGGGCTCCCGCCTTATCCACCAATAAAGCCCCTGGAGAGGCCAGGGTCACGGGCACGGGCGAAGCTGCAGACATGCCAGCCTCAGGCATTGGAACCACCAGGGTGGGAGCCAGTGCCCCCTTCTCGGCGAACTTGGGAACCCGGGGAATCCCATCCTCGGCAGCTCTAATACCTTTATAGGTCGGGCAAGTGCCCACAAAGGCACGGGCTGCGGGGACTGGGGCAATGGACAGCAAGCCTGTCGACAGGCTTATTCCTTGAACAGGCGTGAGGAGAAAGGGCGCTTCCGGAACTGATACCGTGGGCTCAGGCGCTGCGGGAGCTAGCTGGCTGAAACCGGAGACTGGCGACTCAGGTACGATGAACACAGTGGGTGATGTCTCTTTAAGGGCCACAGGGAAGTGAGTAGGCAGACAGGCGTCCTGCATAAACGCAGAGGTAGTCCGTGGTGCGGCACGATGAGGCGCACAAGCTGCTAGGTGATGTACCGCGGCGAAGGGGGGGGGCTCTGACATTCTTAAGGTGCAGCTATCTATCCCCGAGACACTTTA